TTCCCAGGGAAGCAAGGATCTTTATTAAAGACAAGTGCCACGGAAAACTGTGTTGTCGAAACACACGGTCTTTAAACAGCTTCGCAGGAGTTTTGGCATCAATTAAGTCTGGCACTGCTACTACATGAGACTTTTTTTATCAAACGCTCAACAAAGACGCCGATGCCAGTGTTTCCTTTCCAAATCCTTCGGTAGGCCGAACACAAAATGCATACTCATAATCTCCTAACACTCAGTGGGTACAGGCAAACTAAAAAGCGGTGCAACGACATGTGCTGAGGGTTTGACTCTTTGACACGTTTCACATGTACGCAAATATGTGCTCACCCATTTAAACAACCTGAGCAACCAATACTTCAGGCTAACTGCGCTATAGGTCTTCTCACGACCGAGATGACCGCTCAAAGCAGTGTAATGTGCCTCAAAAATTATGCGATATTTTAAATCCTCATCATGAGAAACAACGATGCAAGGGATATCCTCAACACCCGTGCAATAGCACAACGACCCACAATCGACGACATTTAAATTTAGGCTCGCGCGTAACGTGGCGACATACAAATATTCGAGTCTTTAAACTCCTCGCTTTCAAAAGTATGTAGCAATGCTACGCATTGCTCATGACGTGCATATTTTGCATGAACTAAATCCACAATGGGTGACGGCAAAGTCGTAACATGAGCTAGCTCATTATAATCTCTGTGAGACAACGCATTAGCCAAAGTATTATACTTGCCCGGATTATACTTCACCTCGAAGTTTTATTTATCAAACAATGAACGGCAAAGGTCCATACACTGGGAGAGTTAATGAAAAGGTGTAGCAATGCGTAACTTCGTATGATTTGTGATGATCTTAATCGCTTTTAGCTAAGGAGTTAGACTTTGTACACAACAAGAGCATTTCAGTACAAGTAAATTTTGAAGTGAACTGGCTATTTATTCTCTGCAGTCTTTGGCTGACGAGACTAATATGCAATGGCGCTTTCATTTCCTTTAAATCTGTCTGCAAAAATGCACAATTAATAGCAAAATTGGACACGTCACAGACGACAATGAGAGATCGCTCAGGGTCAGGCAAAGCCAAAATTGGATCACAGAGGAAGATGTCCTTCATAGCCTCAAAATATTGAGCGTGGAATGCGTCCATACACCAAGCTACATCCTTCTCAATGATGTTGATTAGTGGCCTTGCCATGTCAGCGTAGTTTTAACTGTATTTGTGCAATCAATTCGCACGGCCGAGCCATTTAAGCAATCCATTTTGGTTCAACAAAACCGGCCAGTCAATAATTGACTTTGCCTTAGCGGGATCCACTCGAAGTCCACGCTTCCCAATAAAGCACTTCAGAAATAGAATATCTTCCACACACAAATTTAATTCAGATGTATTTGCTTACAGCTTGTTTGTATGCATACACTCGAGCGCTGATCGTAAATTGTCAATGTGATTATCCAAATCTAACCTACTATGTTCTGTAAATCTATGGAAGAAGATTTAATCGTAATAGCTTTGTGCGTATCCTCGGTGAGGTCGGAACAATTGCGTCTAAGGACGAAAAATTGTAGCCGGGGCATTAGATAGTCCTTGAGTCATGACAAGCTAATCCCAAAGCATACCGCTTGGAGTAATAACCGCTGTGAGCGTGAAATCACTCGCTCTCATGAGCGAATGATAATACCCATTGACCAAATTGGGTGCACCGAACATGGTGCAACCTACCATAGAGTTTTAAAGGGCATATTTTCTAGGAATAGGTGTCTGTTCTAATACAGTGGCTGCATTAAGCTTATTGTAAGCATGCACAATGCGCCACTTTCCATTCGGCTTTCTGACACAAAATGTCGGTGTGTAATGGGGAAAACTTCATCTCAGGCAACATGCTAGCCGCGTGATTTGCACGAAAGAACTCGTCAATAACGTCAAAATGCTCTCTAAATAGGGAACGTTGCCGTGTCACACAGATCTTAATTCCAGGCATTAGGTTTGTAGTGGGGCTACAAAGCTCCTTAAGTAAGAGGAAGACTTATTGCTCAACGAGCAACTTAGTTCTAAAGAACTAGACTCAATGATTCAACAAGCGTAAATCTTATGGTCCCTGTTCCAGGAACCCAAACAATTTAGTGAATCGACAGCATTTAGTGTTCAAGAGTAACTAGCTACCTTAAGGAGGGTTGCTAACTATTAGTGATGAGTGACCAATGACCAAAGACGCTTCGCATAGCACGTGTCTTTAAGATCAAAAGGGGAACTGAATTTTATTTACATTTACACCTATAGAATATCTTAATCCTGATATTACCTAATCTAGACACTTATTTCCTAAAGTAGTACAACTAAGATCTCTCCTATCTTGTAGCTGACACCTGTCAGCCCCTGCAAGCCAATAAGATATTCTATATTTTTTCAGTGAGATATCATTTGTCAGTCGGAGCACAAGGCAACAAGTACCCGACTACGTGTCAACCTTTACAGTCATGACGTACGCTTCGATCAGGAGGCAGAGTGGAAGGTGGATAGTGACACACCACATCCTAAACTCATTAGCTAAAGATTAAAACGAGTCTATAGGATCTTTCAAAATTGATGAACTACTTTAAAAACTCGATGCCGCCTTTGTGTCGTCCAATACAGATTCATCAAGAAGTGACGACAAGTTCAACTCACTACCGGAATGATGATCACTACTTCAGATAAATTACTTGACTTTATGGTCAGGCCAAACGCATCGACAGACACTTCGTCTAGCTCGAACATAGTATTCAGTGAGGGTAGAGTCTTTAGACTTAATGACCCATCTACGTCACCGATCACTCCTAAGTTAGTGTATATAGCTGCTCGCTAGTACCACTCAGTGAAGTAACAGACGTCTTGCGTCGCATAGCGGCAATCTGGCGCCTCTATCGCCTCAATGACACGACTGAACGTCTCAAAGAAATTAGAACCTTCTTGTTCTTAAGGCTGACATCTTCATTATCCTTGACTTGCTCTATACAAGAGCCGGTGTCATTACTGACACCCAGGACATCAATGTCCCCAAGGTTAAAATGACCAGCAAACTTAAGTTTATCATTACTAGAGCCGATGTCGTTACCGACATCCGGGACTGTACCACCCCTTCGTTGACGAACTGCGTCAACCTTTATATGCCCAATATCCGGCCCGATGTCATTGCCGACATCTGGGACTACACTTTCCACAAGGTGACGAACTACGTCAACCTTAATTTGATCTATACCATGTCCAATGTCATTACCGACATCTAAAAATGAGTCACTATCAGTTATATCACCTACCAGTGGGTACTTACGTGCCACCCCACGCTCATCAAATGGGCGTCGCCCTTGACGACTTGGTGTTACACCAACAATGTCTTGACTGGCATTCAGTGTGTCGGAATCACGGCCAACTTCCTTGAAAGGGTACTGACGTGCCACTACACGCTCACCAAATGGGTTTACCCCATGATGACTTACTCTAGGCCAAAAATACGTTCAGAATTAAGTTTTTCGGTATCATATTGATTTTAGCTCGACAAGGCACGTGCCGTTTCACTAAAGTCAACGAGCTTGGCTCGTAACTAACATTGTCATCGTCGAACTCAATGAGTTCAGCCATACTGATGCCCATAGCACTGCCTGTATCAGTCCGTGGCTCGCGTCAATATTGCTTCTGTTTTCTATCAGATGTGGGCTCATGACTCTCTAAAGCCTCACTAGGAACAGTGCACGTTTCGCCTAAGACCTTTGACCTCCTTTAACCGATAAGGTGCGGTATTACCATTAGTACATGGTACGAATACTATACCACTCAGATCCACCGATCTTTACTTGGTGTGGACACAACATAACCGGTTCAAAATCTGCCGTGCAATTCCGTTACAAAATAAAGCGCTATAACTTTAAAAATGAGCACTTGTTTTCGTATTATAAAAGTGAAGAACTACTTGATCCACATGTCACGGGTTATTTGGGTGGTGGGCGTGTTAAGAAGAGCAGGAGGTTAATCTTTTTGGTTCTGGTAAATTTCCCTGCGACAGGTGCTGTATCATCGCTGTTTTTCCTCATCGTCTGCCTATAAATCTTCTCTTTAGAATATCGTTATCGGTTAGCTCGGGCTGAGCAGTCTCATCCTCTTCGATGAAATCGACCCGCTCCGAAATTTACGTGGGTACTCGGGCACACATTCTTAAGCCGTGCTATCAGCTCTTGCTCCAGCTCACTTTCGTCATCCTCGACCTAACTTGCGCCATACTTACTCCTTTCCATCTCCACTGCACTTGAAATGACCTATTTAGTAGAAAAAGCCCCATGTGGATGAAGCAGTTGGCAATGGTAGTGCTTGAAATCTCGTTCCATGCAGCCACCGACCAGCGCATGGCAGTAAGTTGGTCGACTTTGTAAAAGATGAAACCCTCCCTACGCTCGTGACAGTCGATCGCATTCTGCAAATGGTAACGTAAATATCGCTGCTTGAACGCTGTGGTGACACCAGCATTCATCGGCTGAATCATGGACGTCGTACGTGGTGGAAGCAGCTAAACATTGACGTAGTTTCCGTAAGGTCATTCGTCGTATGCGATGGAGCATTGTCAATCAATAGAAGAATATTATACTCTTGATCCAGAACAATACAATTTTTAAATGGTTAGTTGTGTAATTTTAAATGGCTATGCACCCTCGATGTTTTGTCTACTTTTGCAAGCCATTCCTGAAAGAAAACACCCTTCATATAAGACTTTGTGTTGTTGCGATAGAGAAATTCATGTGCTTTACCGAATTCCTTGACAAAGCGGCAAGGCTTCTTGGCTTTCCCGATAAAGAAAGGCTGCAGCTTGTCATAGCCACCAGCATTGCAGTGAGCGCAATTTTTTAATCCTCGACTGCATAGGATGTCAGTGCATACCCCTGTGTTAGTATATGGCAAGAAGCATTCTGCAAATACTCAACTTTTCTTTTTGTGTCCTTCAATTTCATCCTGTGCAATAGTCCTGTCAGGATTCATTCTGTAGTATAACCTGCAAATTAATTTTGTAAGCCTCGGTTTCAGTTAAAAATATCGCAAAAAGATTACCGGTATCATCCATGTTGTAAACATCACACAGCGCGTACTCTGCAATGACTTTCTTTACATCAGGCAGAGGTTTACTCATAGCCTCCACGTCGACCGAGACCCTTTCACCGTAAATGTTGATAGCACGGAGCATGTGACGTTGCTGTAACTTGTGAAGCCATCAGGGCGAGAAATTGATGGCGTCATTAGGAGTTCCAAGCAATTGAGCAAGCCGATGAGCTTCCGCACAGATTACCTGACATCCCCGGTTATAATCAGTCCGCGGTGTTTAAAAATTTAAAACGCAAAGAGACACAGCTTCTTCCAGTATGGGATGTCGAGCCAGTCGCTTTCGATTTGCATTTAGGCTGCTTGGATCCATATTCTCCAGATTATACCGCTTTCGAAATATCTTGCTGATTGATGTCTGTGACAGCGTTTTGACGAGGCCGAACTCCGCCGTAGCCCATTTCACCAGTGCAGTTTAAGATAAATCTGGGTTCTCATCCTTGCGCTTGCATTTTTACATACGTTTCCCATTGGAAAGACGGATCTGCGACATTTTATGATACTCAGATATCACACCAACAGGCAATACACGGTTTAACAAATGGATATGTGTGGCTTTCCCCGTGTAATAATTGTTAGCTCAGACGAAAGAAGGTATTGATGCGTCTCATACCGTCTGGAAGGTAGCAAACTAGCCAGGAGCCTGAGACTTTTTCTCTTTTCTAGCAGTGAAAGCTTTGGGGATGGATTTTGGCTTGAACTGAAGGGAAGTGGGGGGGGGTGGTCTTGTTACCCAGGTCCTCTTTCATTTACCACTCGATTGAATAATTCTCCTGATGAACGATACAAAAAAATCAATAAATTACAATCTCTGCTAAGTTATGGTGATTGCCGTCCACCGTACCCATAACTTATCGGAGGGAAGGCTGTATTTCCTTTGTCCATTTTGGTAGCAAGGAGGATGGGGAAGTAAAGGGAGCGAGAAAAAGTGTTTATATGACCATCCTTAAAAAACACTACCACTCCACTCTTGTATCCTGCATTGTGCAATTGTATGTATTAGTGCTGTTGAGTCGTGATTTGTGATCCCACCAATCACCCAAACACAAAAAAAATTATTTTATAATAACAATCAACAGTGTAACTGCGTAAGTAAATCGTCATTCGTCAAAATACGCCATTCATGATACAGTTCAACGTTGCGTGGACACGAGGGCGAGACAAGCAATGTCGAGGTTGATCTTGTCAAGTCGTGGGTATGTGTTTCGCGTCGCGAATAAACGACCCATTACATAGTTTTTGTTGACACAAGTGACTTATCACTGATTGTGGGCTGTGAGCTGTGGTGAGAATTAGCGTTCGTCAAAGCTTTTAGAGATGGATTCAGTCGCGGATAATAAACTTGTGGCGGTAGCGACTAAACAGGAGTGAGGAAGCGTCAACAAATTGCTGGTATGTATGATTCAGATGTTCCAGCTCATGTGATATGGAACTATTGTATATCGGTGTACCAGGTATAACGGTATGGACGTTGAGGGGACATTAACTCCTGCTGCTCTGGGCATGGTCCCGGTCTGGGCCAACAGTCCAACGAAGACCATTGCTTACATGTTGTTTCGACTACGGATGCTGGTATTAAAATTAACGCGGTTTTGGACGGGCACCGCCGCTCAAGGGCAGTACAGGAAGCTGAATCAAAGTAGGTGTCCATCAAAAATGCACTACATATGGTCAATGTTCTCGATGAAATCAACTCTGCTCCACATGATGTTAGAATACACTTGCTGACTGCCTCAAATATCTCCATTGATGAGGTCCATGCAATCTTCGATAGTGCTGTTTCTTGCTCTGACGAAAAAGAAAAGCAGTCGCTCTTAGCTTTTTTCAGCATCCGCTTGTCGGATGTATTCTGTAATGATGGGATGTAAGCCTTCATCGCGTTATTATTCGCAAGGTGCTTTATGACGCAAATGTGGGAGATCGTGCTGCTGTGCGAGAAAACTGAACAAAAAGACTGGAGAAGTACAGGCGACTGAAGTATCAGCTGATCATTCGTGCGACAATTCGCAAACGACCAAATTTACGATCCAGCGCTCGCACTATTGCTACGCTTATAATCTATAATCGATAGTGTATCCTGACGCACGACGATTTACTTACGCAGATACAATGTTTTCGCTCGGGTGATCAGAGAGCTCACAAATCACGACTCAACAGCACTAAGACATACAATTGCACAATGCAGGATACAAGAGTGGAGTGGTAGTCTTTTTATGGACGGTCACATTACTCCTCTTTTTCTCTCTCCCTTTACTTCCCCATCCTCGTTGTTACCAAAATGGACAAAGCAAATAATTAGACAAATTAATCATTTCTAATCGGACTGTGTAGTTGGTACCCAGAAGGACTGCGTTACGATCCGTGGATTTTTAGCTATGCCCTTTATTATAGTTTACTGTTATCAATCGCCCACCCGTTCCTATTATGACGGTTCTAGGTCTTTAGATCAGTCGAGCAAAAAGAACGCAACAATATAGTTTACGTACATCCACCTGCGTCTCGTTGACACCCACAAATGATACGTACTTACATTTACCTTTATTGCAACACATTTTCCGCTGTCATAGACATATTGAACAAAAACCCTTACACCCCATTAACACTTGCACACGACTCGCTCTTGCTCAGGCTTAATATGCCATAACTACCCTCGTTTTATCTCCATATTTCCATCTACCACCTGATAACATAAAGTGGTTGCTCTCGATTAAATTTATCCGGTTTAAGTTAAGGCGTTCTACTGTTGTTGGTTCTTCTTGTTTATCAAGCAGAAATATTAGCAGCCACAACGCCATCAACGATAATCCAGGGCATCGTGGTCGACGCTAGAGCGGGTTAAACGAATCCATGACATTGATAGTGTGTGACTTGGGTCTCTTGTGACACTTGTGAAGCTGCTATCGTGGTAAGGATACGGACTTCTAAGCACGAATTTCCATCAACGGATTATCCACCAAAACCTGCTTACCTTCTGGCGCCTAGACGTAAGAAAGAACTGTATACTCCGTGTAAAAAAGAAGAAGAAGAGACAAAGCTTGGTGCCTCACACACCAACAGAATACTTCTAGATTAGTACATCTTCTGCAAGCCGCTTCTTGTATACCGATCACGCAGAATGGTCGTTTGAGACCCGCATCTGATACGGCTATAAATCGTGATACCAGGAAGGTTTTACAATAAGGCAAACGTATGCATCGCTTGTCTGCGGTTGTCAACAAGGTGCAAGGTACGTATACTATATCGTGGCATTCTTTTTATCCGGCTGATCGAAAGGCCTATTTTTGCGATAACAGGGGCTGGTAGTGAAGGTTAGCGTTTGGAAGAGCGTTGTCCACCATGACGCCTCCCTGATTTAGCGAATAGTATCAGGCAACAGCAGGAGGCTTCAAATCTTAGCGTACCACCTGACATTTAGAATACAGAAGGCCCCTCATCGGCATTAATCCGAGCTAAACATCGGGCTTTCCAATACAGTTGAGCATGTACCACGTCACAGGCACAACTGTATTGGAAAGTTGAATGACGCGAGAGGCCTACCGAATACTAGGCTGGATAAAGTAAGAAGGAACGCAACCTTTGTCAATAACATGGCAGCGTTCCATCTGCAAACTATCGCACGAAGATCCACCGAGATTTTGGAGAACTCATAGCATGGGTCACCAAGATTTTGGAGAACTCTGAGTATGGATCACCACCTCCCGTACTTTCAACAACAAAAGCGACTTTTTGTTCGCGGTAAGCCAGCCAACATCCCTCGGAAAACACCCCGCTCATCAATGAACTCTCAGCGACTTTGTAGTTCACGACCGCGTAGACTCCTCTACCACGAAAAAGCTTGATGTCTGTATCCATGGCTGCAGCGTCCGATCGTCGGACATGCATCATGGAGGCATCTTCGGACTTTTCTCTTTAACTTGCACCTGTGACCACACTTGGAAAGCAGCAAGTGAAACAAAATTGGAAGACGTTGGGCGCGGTGTTGATCTGAGCGCATAACTCGTTCTGGCTACGGAGACGCGTTACAAGTCAACGGACCGGACATAGGCTGAACCGAAGGTGAACACGTCGGTTCAGCCCATCACCAGCCCGTAGAGCCGAAGGAAAGAATGAAAGTTGCAGACTTGGATGTCGTCCACTACGGTACTCGCTCGCTGTGACGTGACGTCCATCGAGACGCTGTCACCGGACCATGGCACTGCTCATCCTTTGTCATCACCAGTCATCGCACTTCAGATGTTTTGGCTTGTTGCAGGGATAAAGTGTCGCGATGGAGTCCACTGGTTTTATGTCACACTGATAGCACATACAACACACTGGGACGGAACTTATGACTGAAAGGTTGACAGCACTCCAATACTTCTACTGAGACTCACGCTCCCACACATCCATGAGCTCGAGGCGGAATTCAGAAAGTCGACTGCTCAACAGCAGCTGCTGTACAAGCTGGCGCACCACCAAATCGGACGACGAGATGCAGCTGCAGAGGGCTGGATACATCTCCAGTATACTCCGCGGCTGCATGTCAACCTCCAGCGCGCTTGTCAAAAGAACCACCACCCTCTCGCGGGCTGCGACATATTGGATGTCGCGCTCAGAATCTGACAACGATGATGCGTGTAGTTGGTCCGGCACACCTGAAGACTGGAGTTTCGAGAGAGCAGAACTGCTCAAATCGGCAAAGCGCACCATCGCTGTATTGCAGCACACAACAAGTCGAGCACACGCAAACAGTGCCAGCTCCTGGTCTGCTGTCTGGATGCACATCGTGCTCAGCTGGCGCACGTAGCACCGAATGATTGACTTGTTGTGTTCCACCGCATTCACACCCGAGCACAGAATTGCAACCAGATCGCTAATAAACGCGTTGTACTGAGAACCGAGGTGAGACTTCGTGTCGCTGTCGTCGTCGAGCAGCGAGATAGTACTGTCCACTACGCACTCCAACACACTCAGCACCAGCACTTCATCCTCTTCTGATTGTACACACAACGGAAAGTTACCCCCGTTTGGCTGGACAAAACTCGTAATCGTCTCAAGGAGTGGCCTCCAACAAGCTTCTGCCAACCGAACAGCCACGAGCCCACTCGAAATGATGACCAGAAGCACGCGCAGCGCGTGTTTCCACAACTGCGTTGCTGCTTTCTGCGCTGCTGTCATTGGCTTGACAGGAGGCACGGAAGGACTTGATTCCAGTGTGTCGTGGCTTGTATCAAATCGCAAGAATGGCTGGATGCAGAAGAGGACAGACAGAAAACGTTTCTCTTTGGCCTCCGCTGACACGCTCGCGTACAGCTTTGCCAACGAAATCAATGCGTGTCGGGTGAAGAAAACGAGACCCTTAGCTGACGACAGCGTCACATAGTCTACGAGCTGATCCAACGCTTTAGTGTGAACTTTCGGATGAAACGCAAACGAATCACATTCCTCAAAAGCGTCAAGTACGCGAGATTGCAAGCTGTTTGTCGAAATATTCGTAATTGCCTTTGTCACTGCTCCCTTTTCAGTTGCTGGTCTGTCAAGTATATGGCGAGAGGTCAACGCAGCAAACAGATCCAGCATTTTTTCCACGTTTCGCACGTTCCTGAATTCGTGCTCTTTCGCTTGTATGTAAAGCGTCCTTAACACTGAGACCACTGCACTCGCAATTTCCTGTTCCTCCTCTTCTTTCCAGGGATGCATTGAGTTCTTGTCCTTTTCAGCATCTCGTCGTCTCTCGTCGCACAGCCGCAATAGTTGGTCAAATGCTTCCTCCCAAAGTCGGGGATCACAAAACACTGGTGTGGGGGTAACACGCCGTGTTACTGGAGAAGCCAACGCAGCGCTTGTAGGTGTTGACGAAGACACAAGAGCACCTCCAACCACACGCATACCAACTCCGGCGCGAACACGCTGCGATTGTGCGATGTGATCGAAATCTCCGGCTGAAGACACTTGCAACAGCGTTTGGAGCATTTTGATAGCTGCAAGCACAACTTCCTTGGGTACGCCAAAGGCGGTATTCAGCACCACGTGCTGAAGCAGACTCCTCCAAATGGAAGCAAACCACGACGCGTGCTGCAGCAGGTAGTGCCAATTCGTCTCCAGTACACGACTGATGCCAGTCAGCATAAGCACCCGAGACTCGTTCCACTGCTTCTCGGCGTTGTCGCGTGAGTGGTGCAGCATCACATTAGTAGACACCTTCGACTCGATCTTTTCGAGCGAAATCAAGCTTTTCCGGTCTCGAGTCTCGCACAATCGAACAGCAAGAGGCAGAACCGTCGACTCTATGAACAGTTGCCACTCACTTAGTTCAAATTGAGCACCATATGTCACTGCCGTTCCAAAAAGCGTGTTAATCGCGCTGTTCCGCACCTCAGCTCGGTCGTTTAACGCTACGGAGCTGAATTCAGCAAAAATGTACCCCCACTGGCCGCACCGTCGCTGGCTACTCGAGTCGCTTTCATCTTGCGTCTTCTGTTTCCCAATCACATCAGCCACGCTCCAAAGCTCGTTCACAGCCGTGAGACTAATGTTAACATCCTTTGCACGACTGCCAAAACGTCCAATGCACTTGATGCAATCTGGAAGGTAACAGCTGGGAATTGACACCACCAAATCATCCACGATAAGGCGCAAGCACTTGAAAGCGAGCACCTGTGTTTTTCCATCCCCGATCGTACAAGCTTCCTGTATCGTAGCAAATACTGGTGGCCAGCCAGCGCTGATGAGGTGACCGCAAGCATTCAGCATTTCCAGCATACCGGTCAATGTGCTGTCTTTCATGTCCGAGCGTACCAGCTTCAGCAGCGGAACGAACAACTCCTGCTGATCAAGCGCATGCGAGTATGTAGGATTTTTTCCCTCTCTTTCGATGCCACGACTTTCCATTGTTGACTTCGCAGTAAGTGGTGCACTGCTGACAACGTGCTGCAGGGCGTTTTGCATGAGCTGCAGGACACTATCAGTAGCAAACACCTGAAATTGAACTAGTTGGGGAAATTGGACAGCCGTTAGAGGGGCTTGGAGCTCGTACGTGCTCATGAGGACTAGTTCATGCATAACTTCATCGAAACACCGCTTGCTGCTCGACGCCAATTGAGTCAGCATGCGCAAAGCGAAGCATGGCGTAAAGCTGCCAGTACCAGTGAGGCCTACACCGAAGTAGCTATGATAGATTTTCATACAGTGGAAGCTTATGGAGCTGGATGAGTCACCCTCATCCGCTATCTTCCAGCCGTCGGTAGGTGATTCCGTGCGAGTCGAATCCGACAGAAACTCCGAACCTCTGCTCAGCATTGGGAGACCAACTTGGTTCCACGAAACCCTTCTTACTGCACTCAGCAGCTTTTGCTGAGCGGCACTACTCATCTTATGCGCGCCACGAATCAAATCCACGACCGAATTGCTCAGCATCACCAACTGCTGTTCAACGTCTTCATCTTCGATTCGAAAAGCCCTAATTCGATAAGTTTTAGTCGGTAACTTTTGCTGTCCTTTCCTTCGCTTTGCATCTGTAAGGTCCACAATGATTTCAAAGCCCTCAAGTAACGCGCACCACTCCGTCTCTGAAAGCTCTTCCTCCATAACATGTGCAGCGCCAAAAAGCGCCTTCATCGCATGCACCTCGCGCTAGCTGATCGTCACAAGGCAACTTTCGCTATCATCCGCCCCACTTTCGCCTACGGTGTCACTGGATCCACTGCTGCCCGATCCAGTCGTTGATATCGATGCTTTTGTGTTTCCTCGAATCCCATCCGGTAAGGGGAAGGAGAATCCACATAATACTCGTAAACAAGTCAGCACCACCTCATCCATCGGCTTACGCCACGTGTTCCTTGCGGTTTGGCCCTGCATGTTTGCTCGAAGCCTCGACGCGATCGTAGCTAGTACATGGTATGCTTTGAGAGACATGGTGACGAGGTCCACCTCACGACAGTGTCGCATCACGCAGTTCATAGACTTAACTACTGCAGGGGCCACTACGGCAACGCACGCTTTAGCCAGCTTCTCACACACTTTTTCGTTGGCGGTAGATCTCGACAGCTCGAAAACGGAGGCCGCCATGTTGCACTGGCACGAAGCGGCAACCCGGACAGCCATGTAAAACTGCTGGAGCACGGGTGTTTCTTGCTCGTTCAGCAACTCAAGACCAGAGCGAAGTGCAGTTGCATCCGGACCTTGAGGTTTAAAATCGGATGGTGGTGATGTCATGATTACCGATGATGTCGTGCGGGTGATAGCAACCAGCACACCATCAGGGTAGCTTACCATTGCGGCAACCACGTCAGGCTCCTGACACACGCGGTTCAAAACTTCCAGCGATAGCAGAACGGGCCAAGTCACAAAATTGATACTCCCTCCTGTACTGCCAGATGCGTTGGACGCACCAGCGATTGACAAATTCGAGTGGGCCAAAAAGCTCTTGGCCTCCTTGAAATTCGCGATCGCGTTTGCCGCATTGTATTTGGAGTCAGGCGGTGACTTTGATAAAGCTCGAGGTGACTTCGACAAACTCGGTGACGAATTCGATAATGATTGTGGTCCTTTGGAGACGTCCATAGTGTACGTCCCTGTGGCAATAATTTCTAACAGCGCGTGCAAAATCGAAGCGCACTCGCCAACAAGACAGTCGGCAAAATGGCACAAAAGTGTGCTCGCAAGACGCATACCACGAGCGAGCAGCGGGAAGAATGGACCCGCTGCGCCATTTGTGCTGCTGCTGGTGATTGACGTGTTCGTCGGTCCTGTAATACCTGAGCCTGCAGACCCGCCATGCTTATCATTGCAGCTCATTTCCAGCACTGACTGCATCAATGGAACCATCTGCTGCTTCAAAACAGTCGTAAACTCGACATCAAGGCGAAAGAGCCCTTTGTGGGACGCCACGATCGTCTCAAGTAACTCGACCGCTAACGCCGCACTCATCGGCGACACAGCCGTGCGTTTTAGCCACACACCGCTCTCTTCTCGACTGATAAAGCACAGATCCTGGAATAGCAGCACGCCGACACGTTTAGCTGCTGGACTTGAGTCAACTTGGCTAAATGCAAGCGACACCAGCTGCCGGATCGTCATCGCTGCTGTGTTCCCCACCACTGAACTAGCACTGCCACTGCTTTCGTGAAGATGTACACATATCCACACAGCTTGCATCACCATATCTTCATTTCCCACAAGCTCGTTCTCTGTGTAAAAGAGACCATGCAAACAACATCATCAAACCTCTCTCCAAGCGTCAGCTCCTCATTAAAAAAAACACTTTCTGTACCTAGTTGTCGTTGACCAGTCCGCGCTACAGCTGCACCCTTTTTCCGGTTCGTCGCCTCGTACGCGAGCGTCATAAGCTGCAAGACCGTCTGCAGTAACTTAACCTGCACGTCTGTGTACGCGGTTTTCTCGGCCTGGATCTGCAAAACCCGGAGGATGCTGCCCACACTGGCCGGTTCAATGGCGTCCCAGCTCACGAGGCGCTGGATACTCGACAGTGCGAGCACGAGAATCTTGTGGGACGCGTTCGTGTGGTTACACGTCAATAGAAACGGCCGCAAGACGCTCTCGCTCTGGAAAAAACTGTGGCCGGGACCTGGCGCGAGCTTCTCGGTACGCACGAGCGCCGCGTACTGCTGCTGCAAGAGAGGCAGCACCTCAAGCGCACGGTCCACTGCCTCCTTCACGACTGGGTACTTGCGCTTGGCCTCGGTCCGCAGCGCGTGCAGATCCACCGCCACTTGCCGCAGGAAATCCATCGCGCCAAGTCCGAGGTCGTGGAAGTCACGCGTGATGTGGTGAGGAGTAGCCAATCAGATATGTTTGCTTCTATCACGGAATAATCGAGGTGGAGGGGGGGTGATGATGCTCCGGGGGTTGATTCCGTATAGTCATGATGGAATCTTCGATAGTCATGTATTTTTGTGTGTGAGCACGAGATGCGAATCAGCACATGCAGCTTTAGCTTTGCTAGTCGTGGAACATGCAGTTTCGAAAAAACTCTGTGTAGGTTTCACGAGTGGCTGGACACTGTTCTTTGTTAGCATGAGTGTGCACCAGAAATGGCATGCTGTTGTGTCGTGTTCATTATACTACGATCATAGGGGACATCTGGGTCAAGTTGTTGCACTCCGTCCCAACAAGATGTCGGGAGATGCTGTGTCGGTCAAGTATCGACATTTCGCCTGATTTAAAGTGACGGCACTGATTCAGGACTCCAGAGCAGAAGTTCAGATGAATTGGTGGCAAAATGACTCGGCAAGACGTTCATGCGTGCGTTGCCTTGGACAAACTCGACGATTCCTTCGTCATCTCAGGCATCCCAGGAATGATCACGATCAAAACAGCTCATCGATAATCGAAGCATTCATAGCAGCTCAGCTGTGGGATAACGATAGCGCTTTGTAGCGTTTGATTCCATACTGCAACGAAAGTTCTTCTCCCATTCTTCGATTGTGCTTGGAATGAGGTGCATTGTGCACAACGACCAGACCCTCCCGCAGAGCGTCTCCTAACCAAGTGTTAAACAGTGGCAGACCCGGTGGACTTTGTGGAACATATTCGGCGCGATCAGGCTTGCAGAGTTAGAACTCGCCCATACTGCTCGACGGCAACGTACTGAGGACAAATACCTGCTAGTGCGACACCTCGCGGACTAGCTGCTCCAACCAGATATTGTGATCGGGTCATTGTTCAAGGTCCAAGGAAGCGCACACGCTAGGACTACCACGATGTAACGTTTATGACTGCAAGCGACTGCACGTCGGAGGTGTCAGTACTGCAACGCTGTGTCAGAAAAATACAACGGGAGCCGCTTTTTATGGATTAGCAGGGTATTGCTGTGCTGATGCTACATCGATCCAGTGAAAGTCAGCATCAATTCCCGTTTCATGCCTCCGTGTTACATTAAAACGAGCACTGATCGATGTCCAGAGTCCATCGGTGCACCAAAAGCAGGCGACGTTATTGACAGCCTCATGCCGCGTTCGAGTTCCACAGTTGCATTGGACGCACTACTTTACAGTGACGTTTTCGTTGTACTTGCCCATTCCGGCATCAAAGTAGAGAAGCAAACTCGAGTACCCTTCTACATCTTTTGTCGCAATACACATGTACGGCAGTCAGACTGTCCCGTCCCTAAAATGTGGCTGAGCTGCCTTCGTCGTCTTTATATCTCACAATAACGATGAGTTATTCGCCTTCATTGGCATAGTGGAAGCTCGCTTTGGCACACAATGCGTTCGCGGGAGCTACTAGTACTACAGTCGTTGGTAGCTTCAACTTGGTCGAGTCGAGACGAGTCAATTTTCTGATGGATGGGAGAGGCGGCGTATCGATGTCTACTGGTATAAATGATGTCTGTTAGATTCCATCAGGGAGGTCACCTCATTGAAGTGTGGGCTAACATAACGTTGCCAGCTCTCCGTTGAAGCCTACGTTGTTTATAGCTTTCATTGATCTCACTTACCAACCTGCCCGTGCTCTACGAGCGCTTCCAGTCCACAATATCATTTCAAAGTTTTACCAACTATGAATCCCAACAACAAGCCCGAGGACCGATACTTTGGCTCGCACGAGCCTGATATCGAGGCAGCTGCAGATGTTTCCAAGCCGTACCAAGTCAAGTCTCCGCTGCTTCGGGAGTGTCTGGCGGAATTTATTGGCACGATGGTACTCATTCTGTTTGGAGACGGTGTCGTTGCTCAAGTAAAGCTTGGTGGTGGCAACCACGGAGACTACCTTAGCATCAACTTGTGTTGGGGTCTCGGGGTGCTTTTTGGCATCCACGCAGCAGGAGGAGTCTCGGGTGGCCATTTGAACCCGGCAGTGACTACGACACTGTTCCTTTACGGACGCATTGAACGGCGCAAAGTGATCCCGTACATCATCGCCCAAGTGCTAGGCGCTTTCGTTGCCGCCTTCTTTGTCTGGGCCATTTACTACCCCTTACTCGACCCAGTCAGGTCGGACAGGGAATCGACCCGTAGCATCTTTGCGACGTATCCGTACAGTGACGACGTCTCGATAGGCACCTGCTTCTTGACCGAGATTGTTGGCACAGCGCTTCTGTTGGGGGGTATCTTTGCTCTAGGTGACGAGTTAAACGAACCCGCTAGCCCGTACACGAAACCGAGCGCTGTGGCTCTGCTAGTAACAGGGATCGGTATGGCCTTTGGCTTGAACACGGGGTACGCCATCAATCCGGCTCGCGACTTCGGTCCGCGTTTTTTTCTCATTATGCGCCGGCTGGGGCTCGGACGCGTTCACGCTGCGTGACTACTACTTTTGGGTACCGATAGTTGGCCCCATTCTGGGCGGTGCAATAGGCGGAGGCATCTACATTGGACTGGTGGAGTACCACCATCCTCGGGAGTATCATTACCCGCTGGACAATCGGAGCTATATGTAGTCAGTACTCACTTTGGATTCCTCTCGCTCTCGACTCCTTCGTTTAACACTAGCAGTATCGATATGACAAATGCAGCAGAAATGGCGGCAGACCGTTTGAGTCCGAAAGAATTGTCGCTTTAGAGTACAACGAGGACTGACAAGAACCGTTGTCCTGATATAGAGAAAGAGCTTCGATGAAGTAACGTGTTTCTTGTAACAGCGATGCTGCTCATACGATGTATGGTGACTAGCTCAAGAAGTTGACTGAGCTGCACGCGCGCCTTACACTGAAACTGGTCATTGACAAAACAGCCTCACCAATCCTTGGTAGGACTTGGTCTAGCAGGTCTTCATTCTGCATTAGCTCTACTTTTGAGCAGCCCTGTCGACCCACTACGAGGTGTGCTCGTCAGGTTACAGCTGGTTGATACCGGTCCTCAATATACAGCAACTTCATGATAACGGATGCGTAGAGGCATTTACGATGGTCTCATTGAGCCTCAGCAGTAACGGTGGTTCAAACGTCGGTAGGCGATTGATCAGTGTTGACAGTGTGAACGTTTCGAGGCAAAGTGAATCCTGCCGCATGAATCACTCGACTGATTCGACAACTACTCTTGAGTTAAGACCTGGAAGGACGCGACGGCCACTTGTAGTGGCTACTTGGAATCAACACAAACACAAAAATCCAGACTCGCAATGTAACGGAGTCACACGTCGTTGGGTACCTGGTACCCTGTGTCTCATACACACGGATGATATCCCACTGAAAGAGATATAGAATATCTTATCGGTCTTTAGGGGCTCACTGCTGCCACCTACTAGATAGGAGGGATCTTAGTTGTACTAACTTAGGTTAAGATATTCTATTGGTGTAAATGTAAAGTAATTTCAGTTCCCCTTTTGATCTTAAAGACACGTGCCCTGCGAGGCATCTTTGGTCTTTGACCGCTGATCACTAAGAGTTAGCAGCACCTCTTTGATGTGGCTACTTACTCTTGAGCATTACGTGCTGTCGATCCATTGAATCGAATGGTCCCCTGGAACAAGGACCATAAGCTTCACGCTTGTTGACTCATCGAGTCTAGTTCTTTAGAACGAAGTTGCTCGTTGAGCGTTAAGTCTTCCTCTGACTTAAGGAGCTGTGTAGCTACGCTACATGCAAGCTATCACTGCCATGGACACGAAAACAGGCTTGATATGCTTCTTGTAAGCTCGATAGACTAAAAGAACTATGAGAGCACCATGTAACGGGGCACCCTGAAGCTTGTACTGGTGACAGTACAAGCTACTTATTCTGATGACAGAATAAGGCGGTGCCTCGTAACTTCACGTACACTCGTACGTGCAGAGGAAAGACGGTAAGAAGAAGCGAGTACTTGGTTAAAGTAAAAAGTAGAACTGTATTTATAATAGTTAATGTCTTCAATAAATCACTATTTATCTTCATCTAACTTTGTCTAAATACAAATGTGTAAAGCAGTTATCTGCTCACCACTCATTGCGTGCGTCTGTCGTGGCGCGTCTTCGTTGGTTGATATAATGGCCTATATCAACCAATTAGGAACTACTCGTAAGTGCTACAGAATATTTGTCCTTATGACAATATTCTGAGAATATAACTCTTATAGTTATATTCTATTAACAATTTCTTATAAATTGTTATGTAACGATTCACCCCGTTACATCACCCCCCCCTTAACCATCAGTCACTTTAGTGACTGACTGAGTAAATGGATACTCGTCCCAAATCATTTGGGACAGGGTTTGCACTTGTTGGTCCGAGTCCACTTCCCAACATTTCATCGCATGGTTAACAAGCCCATGCGGTGCGCGAGCAAGGCCGCCGAGAGCGCGCCCGCACGTCTCTGTGCGGACGCCGAAGCAGAAACCACAGCAACTGATGTCTCATCGGTTGCTGAAGCGACCCAGCCTGTGTCACTTGGTGATGCAGGCGCTGGTCATGAAGACACTCATGTCTTCACAGAGTACGAGCTCGGTGTCTCGTACTCTCCTGATACGGAAGACGGATCCGTATCGACGGCGATCGAATCCAAGCCGCCTGCCAAGCGTGGCATGGACGATGCTTTGCGTCGCAGCATCTTTGGTTCATTTGATGAATCAGATGAACCATCGCCGAAGCGAAGGCGCTCGAGGTCGCGAGACTCGGGCGCTAACAGTGGTGTCGGTTCTCCTATGGACACCACTTCGCAACGAGGTGCCAGTACTTCTGTCGGCACGTCGCAGGAAGAGCGGGACCGCAATGTGTTGCGTCTCGCTCCCGAGAAGAAGGCATGGATGCCTCCAAAATCCGTCATGGATCACTTGTCGGCGACGACGAGTGATCGTTATCGAACACGATTGTTCGATTCGTCAAGGATCCATCACCTTGACCCCAGCGCGAAAAACTATCGCGCTGAACATGAATTCTTTATCGATGCTTTCTTTAGACATCGATGGTACAGTGGGAATCACAAACGTGATGGTCCCTCACTTCTTCAGGCGTGGAACGCCTACATCCATAACCTTGAGGATGTAGGTCGTGACGCTTGGAACGACAAACTTATCAAAGCTCGTGATAAGTTTGAAAAGCGAACCCCGACAGGTGCACGCTACAAGCTGCATCGTCTGTCAAGGGAGAAAGGATTACCCTGCCTCTCATGGGGAGATTCGTGCCCGTGTTGTGTGAACAACTCTGCACGAGCACCTAAGTAGGCTTACCTCCTTACCAGTCCGTGGTGGCGCGTACGTATCTCAACTGAGATGTACGAAGGGATTGACAACCTGAAATCCCTTTACGACCGTGCCGGGAAGACTTTCTCCGGCGGTCCTTCTGCGGCACAGGATGTGCCGCGTCGTACTGCTCAACCAGACCCAGTACGTAGATCATCAGTTGGGAGCGGGGCTCCCAAGAATCCCAGGACGGGATATAGCCGCGCCACCGGACGAGATAACTCGTCCGACGTCCGTTCACGTCGCGGTGGTTCAACAGTTGCTCAACTAGATAGCGCTGGCCACCGCTAGAGTCCTCTAATGGAGGTGGAGGAGGAGGAAAGACGCTCTCCACACGATCATGGGGATCGGTGTGTTCCCGAGAGCTTCTTTGATCGCGTAACTCTTGCGTTACGCGACGATCTCGAACACGAGCGGGGCAGGCGTCTACAATTGGCGGACACTGTCTTGAAGCATCGAGCTGAGTTTGCCTTTGCTCAGCTTGAGAACGAGAGATCTCTGACATCTCTTCGTGACGAGCTAAGGGTAGCTCGTGGGATTGTTGATCGGTCTCGGGCTGAGATAACCGCTCTTCAGACCCTTGTTGATGCCCACCATCGGGAGCACAAGGCTCTCTGCGAGATGCTTGAGCGCAAGGGCGTTCTTCATCGGAAGAAGCAGCGTACTGATGGTACGGCTTAAGCCGACCAACGTAAAACGTGGGATGCGTTCGCATCTTACGTGGTAACTCGATCGTGTATGCATTGCCTAGGTGGTGCAATACACGAAATGGGCCAATGAACTTGGGTAGTAGTTTACTACTACCCAAGTTAGTCACTACATGCTTTGGTAGATTAACCGTAGACAGTAGGACTAAGTCACCTTTATTAAATAAAAAAATGTTTGCCCTTCCATTCTTGTCAGCGTTTTGCTTTTGCTTATCCACCGCTTCGGCGATGGAGTCTTGCACAAAACGGACTACCGTTTCACGAGCCAGTATGAACTCATCTGATGACTCGTTAGCTTCAGTGTGCTGTGAGCGCACTGCAGCAACATCAACCTTTTCTTCAGTGAGGGCTTCCCACTCCTGATCTTAGGGCTTCCGCACTCTCACTGGCATCATCTTCTTCGATATCGATGTTATCGATATCGGCATCAAACGCAATGATTTCTTCGTCAGAGCGTGATGAGCGTGAACCAAATCGGTTTTTGCTCGCGCGAGTCCCTCCCCCCCTAAACCAGAGTTACACTCTAGTAAGGTGGGTACACGCGGATGGCGCAAGCCATTCACGTAAAACGGTGTATGTGTCGTGGACGCATGCACCGAGTTGTTAATGGCAAACTCTACCATTGGCAAAAACTCACTCCAACTCTTAAAGGAGTGTACGTATCCTCGAAGTATCTCTTCAAGGACACGGTTGGCACGTTCCGTCTGACCATCTGACTCTGGATGATCAGATGTTGACATCTTCAAACGCGTTCCGAGTGATTTGAACACGGAACGCCAGAAATCAGCAGTGAATCGTGGATCTCTGTCTGATACGAGTTCACGGGGCAACCCATGAAGTCGGAAGATGGTGTCAATAAAGACACAAGCACAGCCACTTGCCGTGATTGGCTCTGGTACAGCCACAAGGTGTACCATTTTGCTGAATCTGTCAACAAATACGAGAATACCCGTATTCCCGCGTGCGTCTTTGGGTAACCCGAAGACGAAATCCATTGAGATGGATTCCCAGCACTCAGCCGGAACCGGTAGAGGCTGTAAAGGTGCACGAAGCGAAGGACTTGACTTCACTCGTTGACAGACTTCGCATGCGCGAACATACTTTCGCACAAACTGATACTGGCGGGGCCAGTAAAAGTCTCTACTTACCGTGAGATATGTTTTCTCTCGGCCAAGATGTCCTCCTATAGGAGCATCGTGATACTCGAACATGATCCGCAAACGCAGATCAGTATCATCTGGAATGACAACACGTGGTGTGTCACCAGAAACGGCTGTATAATACAGTAAACCGTTACGAGTAGTGTATCGATCTGATGCAGATCGATACGCAGGCGAAAATCGTTTCAACGATTCTCGGGATGGTTGGGAGAGATGTGTCAACAACTTCACTATCTCACTATCTTGGGCGTATGCCCGCCTCACATCATCATACAACGTTGTAGATGGGACTGAGGACGTCATAACCGCAACAGTGACTGTCTCACTGTTGGGTTTCACGACTGGGTCAAAGTCGGGACGACGTGAGAGTGCATCAGCGACGACATTAAGTCGTCCTGGTTTGTACTCGACCGTAAAGTTGTATTCCGCAAAGAATGACAACTACCGCGCCATTCGTTGTGAAAGGTGCGGGCTGTTCACTGCCGTGCGTAATGACGCATGGTCAGTGTAAACAATGAAGGGTCTATCTCCTAATAGATAGACTCTGAACTTCGCGAGTGCATACTTCATGGCAAGGAGTTCCTTGTCATGCACTGGATAGTTCCGCTCGGCTGGTTGCAGCTGACGCGACTGATAGCAGACGACGCGTTCAACGCCTTCAAGATCGTACTGCATTAATGCACAGCCGATTGCGAAATCGCTGGCATCACAGACCACATGAAATGGCCTGTCCTGATCGGCTATTGCTAGGACTGGGGATTGTATCAAGCTCTGCTTGATACCCTCAAAGGAGCGCTGACATTCAGCGCTCCATAACCACCTCTCGTTATTTTTCAACAAACGAGAGAGGTGCACAGTCATCTCGGCGTAATTGCTTGAATACTTATGCAAATACGCCGCTAGCCTATGGAATTTTCGAAGACCTTTGACATCAACCGGCACAGGCCAGTCGGTGATCGCCTTGATCTTTTCGGGATCAGGACGTACACCGTTCTTACCAACGATGCACCCAAGAAGTGGTATTTCGCTTGCTGCAAATATACACTTCTTGAGGTTTGCATACAATTGATGCTTTCGCATGATTGTAAGAACCTGTCGGACGTGGTACCTGTGAACCTCAACGTCCGACTTTCCATCCATAGCTCGACTATGGATGAATACATCATCGAAATAACTCGGCGCGAATTCTCGTACTGGTCTCAACAGATGTGATACGCATCTGTTGAACGTGGCAGGGGCATTACTAAGCCCTTGTGGCATTACTAGCCATTCCCAGAGCATGCCGCTAAGCGTGCTAACTGCGGTATAGGGTATATCCCGTTCTCGCATAAGGATTTGATAGAAGCCATCCATCAAATCCATGGACGAAAAGATGGTACTCTTTGACATACCATCAATGATTACGTCCTTCCTCGGTATCGGCGTCCGAGCCGGTACCGTTGCAGCGTTCAATTTGTTGAACGCGTGCACTATCCGCCACCCTCCTGTTGCTTTTCGCACACAGAAGGTCGGAGAGCTATGTGGGGAAGTTGATTCCCTCACATGGCCCGCAGCTAAACGATCGGCAAAGAACTTGTCGATCGCAAGTACTTGTTCACGAGGCAGTGGCCACTGCTTCACGACACAGTACTTCGAGCCTGGTTTAAGCTCGACCTCGTGTCGAATACCTTTATCCTTCGGTAATTCGCACGGAACAGTTTCAGGGAATACATCCTTGAATTCAACCAAATCTTCATAGAGAGGATTTGTCTTGAGCGATTCCCACGATTGGGAGTCATATCGCTCAATTCGTGTCTTTTCATCTAGGACACTCTCGTCCATAGATGAACTACTGAGAACTCTCTCGTTCTCAGTGAAGACTGTTGCTGACCTTATGTCGGTTACACACTCGTCGTCAGCGCCGAGTATGCAGATCTGCTTGACTTTGCCACTACGCAGATCACGCAAGAACCTTTTATGTTCGAGCGTTGGCAACTGAGTGATCTCCGAAGTTAACTTCGGAGGCGCAATCAGATCAAGTGTATAAGCGCCTACACTTGATCCGTTATTGATTATGACATTCAATGTCTCTGTCATTTCCTGGGGACTTATTCCCTCAGGCTTCGAAGGACTTATTCCTTCGTCTTCCCGGGGACTTATTCCCGCGGGTTTCGGGGAACTTATTTCCGCCGTATTTGTACTATCGGAACTTATTCCCTTTACTTCCTCTAGCTGGGGTTGCGCAACCACAGCGAGATCCTCTACGAAAGACTCTCCAGTCGATCTAGGATTATCGTTTCGCTTAACCTGAGCGATCGATTGTTTCTCTTCTAGATGTTCCCCGCTAGGGATACATCTTTGTCCCAGTCCACCCGACTTATTCGAGTGGTGGACCTTCGGCGCAGCCTGTGTTTCCCTCACATCCGCCGGAACTTTGCTCCGAAGTGTAACCGTTTGGTACACTAAGGTTTTGTGCAGTCGTACTAACGACCGTACCACAAGTGAGGCCATCGCACTCACTCGTAGTACATCCACACGCTTGTGGACGCTCCAAAACGTTCATCAGATGGCCATCTGATGAACAAGCGGCAGGCATCGTTACTGTTCGATGTTGCCAGTTTACCCGTGGTTCGTACCTTCTGAGCCACGGTATTCCAAGGATGACATCAAATTTGTCATCCAAATCCAATACGATAAAGTCATCGTCATATTGGGTATCTTCTAGCGTATAGTGGATCTTCACTATACGCTTCATGACGGTTACGGATGCGCCTGTCGCAAGACGTACCGTCATCCTCGTAGGAGGTGTGTCACATTCACTGAATTTAAAGTGACCATCTTCTAGCGATTGGCGTCGCACAAAATTGTTGGACGCCCCACAATCGACTAGAGCTCGAAGGGACAACTTATTTGTCACTTCGAGTTTCAAGGTAATGAGTGAGACCTCATTACCTAGAGCAGCAACGCACAACGTTTGTGTGTTGGGAGCAACCTTCGTCAAGAGGCCTACAAATTCTCTTGACGTTGCTGGACCAGTAGGGTGCTCCGCACCTACTGATCCTGTCCGTTTTTTGACGGTCCATCCCGTTGTTGCGTCTTTGCACCAACTGCGGACCCTCGTCCCTGCCCCTTTCTCATGGGTGGACGGTCACTACGCCCAATGTCGCGAGACACTGGACGAGGGGCACTACACTCGTAAGCGTAGTGTCCTGTCTTTTGACATCTGTTGCATCTCTGCAGCTTCTTGTAGCCTGTAGAGCGAGCCTTCTCGCTCTCTACATAACAGAGTTCCATCGGCTCTGGACCTCCGCTGTCATATCGTCTCGGTTGACGATATGATGTCGAGCTGGCGCGAGCCTGTCTCAGACTGAAGTCTTCCTGCTCCGCAATGGAAATGGCTTGTTCTAGTGAATCTAGTTCAAGCCGGAACAGGTGAGTCTTGACGGGACCATCCGCAAGACCCTGCATGAACACCGAAACCAACGTGTGTTCATCCACCGGATTGGAACTTATACAACTCGTGAGATGTCGTATATGTTGCGCGTAAGCGTGCACATCACGCTTACCCTGCTTGAGCTTCAAGAGTTCGGTTCGAGCTCTGAACTCAGCTCTAGGCGGTTCAAACGTTTGTTTGAGCCGCGACTTGAAGACTTCCAACGACCCAAACGCATATGGGTCGTGCAACTTGAGCCCCAGTGCCCAAGTCTTGGCACGTCCTGCCAGATTTGACTGGGCAAATGCAACTTGCATATCCCCGTCGTCGATGCGACGCGCCCTTATGGCGTCATCCAATTCGACGAACCATCTCAAGAGAGAGTCCTCTTCGACTCCCTATACTTGGAGATGTCAATCTTCAAGGTCTTGGGTCGACGCGAGTGCATCGACCCGCCAGCAGCAGCCTGCTGCTGTCTCAACAGTTCAAACTGTTGAGCACCCTGTTCTCTCAACAACTCTGCTTGTTGACAGCCTTGTTGGTGAAGCAAGGCTACTTTCTCGCGTTCTGCGTCAAGTTCATTTTGAATGAACTTGGCGATAGTAGCATGTTGGGCATCTCTATTGAGAGCCTCTAGCATGACGCTAACAGCATGGATGTCCATGGTTGAACCCATTCGTTCAACCGCATCCCATTCGACATCGCTCAAATGGGAGTAGCCGTCACGCGTAGCGTGAAAGCTTTGGTCATCTTCATCATCCAACAAATTCATGTTGGATGTGAACGCGGTCCTTGGACGGACTACGAAGTGCTACCAGGTGTAACGGGGCACCCTGAAGCTTGTACTGGTGACAGTACAAGCTACTTATTCTGATGACAGAATAAGGCGGTGCCTCGTAACTTCACGTACACTCGTACGTGCAGAGGAAGACGGTAAGAAGAAGCGAGTACTTGGTTAAAGTAAAAAGTAGAACTGTATTTATAATAGTTAATGTCCGCAATAAATCACTATTTATCTTCATCTAACTTTGTCTGAATACAAATGTGTAAATCAACTATCTGCTCACCACTCATTGCGTGCGTCTGTCGTGGCGCGTCTTCGTTGGTTGATATAATGGCCTATATCATCCAATTAGGAACTACTCGTAAGTGCTACAGAATATTTGTCCTTATGACAATATTCTGAGAATATAACTCTTATAGTTATATTCTATTAACAATTTCTTATAAATTGTTATGTAACGATTCACCCCGTTACACACCACGTACAGCTTCGATTGCACATTCCATGCATAACTTACGTCAAACGTTGGCTATAGCTCCTTTGTGTATGCTTATCGTTGTGAATGAGCGACCACGTTTGCCTGGTAGCACCTTCGTCACTTTTTCGTCTTACAACGGACATTTTAATTGGCTTTACATTCCCCACCACGATTTGCGGCGGGAGAACAAGATGTAAGAACTGTTTAAAACAGCACGGACAAGACAGGCAGCAATTGTCTGTCGAATCCCAGCAAAAGAACATCGAACATGCACCCGCTGTCCGTAAGTTTTTCCCTAACTCGTAAGTCATAGCATCGTTTGAGGTTTGGTGTCCATTACTCGAGTCGTGTCGAGTGAAGGGGGAAGGAATGAGTTCTGTACACAGGAATGTGTTCTCATCAGCGATGACGTTCGAGGCAGATTCCCAGATTCCCGCGCCGCTCCGGCATGACTCAAGCAATTTAAGTGAAGTCTTTTTTGTGTAAACTCAACTACTGGTGGCAGCCCCTGCTTCCACGTTGTACGTTTCAATGGTCGGGGTCGCCGATCCACACATGGCGAAAGCTCAAAGATTCCTGCAATGTCGTCGCAGAGGTAATGGCTGCAAGAAAACTACTATAACATCCGGGTCATCGCAAATAAATCTACGAGCGCTTTCACCACAACTCAGAGTTGTGTCATTTTTGCAAAGTTGAGTGCGAAAGTTGTGCTGCAGCCTGTAAGCATGCACATTCTTCAGTACAGCCTTCTTCGATGTGCCGTTTTTTTAAAATGTGTGCAAGCTAGGGTTACGGTGCGAGGTGGCGTGCATCCTCTCGCAATCCAACTCATTGGGTGGATCACTAGCTACTAAAACAAACTAAGCAGCTATGTTAACAACCTGTATATTGATGGCGGCGGCATCCATGGGTCTTTTCTTTAGAGCAAAAGATCTCAAGAGTAGAGTGATGAATCTGAGTGGATAAATTTTTGTGCAAGCTATCAAAAAATAGGTGTCAAATAGCATGACTGTACCCTGCTGCGTCGAACAAAGGCCTGTTGTACTTGCAGCCACTTTGTACAGATACAGGAATGACAGCTAAGCCAGCACCTGTTGTTGCAAGAATGTCATGTTGAGCATGTTCTGGTATGTTGACAAGACAAAGAATCAGCGATAGCCACAGCATTTCTATAAAGCCATGTGTTGAGCTATGCGTTTACGGATGAGAGCACCGGGTCGAAAAGCGAACTAGCAACAGCAGCTTCCAAACGAGGCCTCCGGCAGCTTTGAAATAAGGCAAATTTATTAGAACCACACACATTAAGAAACGCTTTGAGACATCTACAGCGAAGTGTCCATTCGAAGTGCCATTTATCGTCGTGAACGGCTTCCTCTCGGTGTCTCCCTCCTAAATATTGGCTCACCTTTTCGGTAATTCCGTTCATTTTACGACTGCAGTGACGGACAAGATAAAATAGCACCGCATAAAAAGGTAGGATAACGTCATGACGATATTTTATCGAAGGAAAGTCAAAGTAGTCGAACTCTACCCCAACGCTGCAACAAGATGGTGTCTTGAATACTATCCATCGTTCTATCGCCGTGATTGAACGTGAGCAAAAGCGTTGATACTAAATTCACAAATGGTGAGCCACGGAGGCAAACATTTCGAAATAAGAGCAACACTACGGTTCGTTACAAAGGCAATAGGTGACCAAGCTTTCCGGTATTGCTATAATTATTCGCCGATCCTCTGCTGAAATTTGTTGCCCAACTTAACGCAATGGCTGCAAGGACGAATGGCAACGCGCTGCACTCATGAGGACGCCACGACAAGTTTGGTCTCGTGATAATAGCAACTCTAAGTTACAAATTTTGGACAGGTTAGAGGGTGCGTTGGGCCAGTTCAAACTATACCATGCTGAGTGGACCGATACCCAAGTTGTCGAAAGATATTAGCTTGCCGCGGTTGCGAAGAGACGTGGAGAACATTTGCTTTGAGAATGTTCATGTGCCGTAGCTCTATGAACCAAACTAGTTACGCATTAAACTGAATAACGAGAGTCCACCAGCACACTTAACGATTTTTTACAAGCATGCGCGAGCAGACAAGTACACGCTATGCCGAACAACGGGCAGGAATCGTGAGGGAACGGTTCCAAGATGATGTTTGTGGTATAATGAACGGGTGTGGAAGCGAATCCAAGAATGCATTGCCACGATGTTCCATAGAAAGCTGTGGATGGACAAAAATGAAGCTGTCTACCGTTTCGCATCCATTCGTATTTGCATGAGCACAAAAAGGCATTGCTGGCCCAATAACTGTTGCAATTGCGAAGAGAGAGCATTGTAAAGTTGAGACCACAACTTTGGGTGGTATGCGATATGTATGAATCGAGTTGCTGGAGCGCGAAACTAGAGGAGTGCATGCGTTTACTGGCCCCCAGTCACGGTCAGCCCCAAATCACCCACCGGCAATCACAGCATCTCTAAGAATACACCAGAGATCTTGAACATAGTTACTTTCATCGTGGAATCGACAATCTGAACCACAAAAGAAGAGCTACATCAAGAAGAAGCAGTGAATCGACCTATACGCAGAACAACCATCAAACTTCTCGTCTGGTTATAGAACATCAAGAAATTACGATCGAAAAGCGTAGATTTCCACAGGTTTGAAGTTACCTGCGAATCTTACTTGAAAACTGTAATCATTAGTCTACGTCAAATAATTGCTGAGTGTGCTCCAGCGAGCAGGTCGCGCTGAGTACTTTGTTAATTTTGCAGGTTCTTTGGGGGATCGGAATGATCCTGGATTTTAGCGCAGAATTGTCCAGTCTAGATCGACTTGGACCGTACATTATTACAAAGCTGGAGTTCTCCAAATTAAAATCAATCGTCATTTATGATACTTCTGGTGCACACCATAAGCCCGGGTAACTATTGCTGCGACCTGCAAGTCCGAAGAGGCACTCATGATTTACGCGCTTGCACACGCGAATCATCAGATTACGGCTGTGGAGTCTATTCCACTTAGCGACGTCAAGACAGCGAACAATCTCGCACTTTAACGGGGCTCCTGGAAAGCTAATCTGCGCCAGTCATGAGCCCGCAGGGTCATGACCAAAAGCTATTGACATCGCCTGTAGAAAGAATCTATTCTGCACATGTCGTGTAGGAGATGCCGAGTCTATGGTGACGCTTCGCGCCAACGTGGCTGAGTGTCGGCGCCGCTGGCAATAAAAGAAGCGGGAACAACTGTTAACTGACACTGTTAAACACCGAATGCTACCACACGGCAATTTTTTTGCGCGTGTTTCGACCATTTTCAGGGATAATACTGTCGTCACGCTAAGTGAAAAGTCTTCTTTTGGACAACATCGCTCCAAAGAATTGGCGGATGATATGGCTGACGTATGGCGACGTAATACAACGTCGTTATCCATCTATAAACAGCATTAATCCATTTATCGCACAAGCCCCTACTCCTCCGATCTTCTATGGTGATGCGGTTGTTGCCCCTGTGACGTCGCAGCAGCAATAAAAATATTTAAACATGAAAAGGCTGCTGCGACAGATGAAATTAGCAACACATTCTACAAAGACCACTCCGACGCTATGCTACTATTCTGGCAGCGCTTTTCTCGGAATGGTTCGAGTTTGAAGTAAATCTGGCAATTTATAATGGTGTCAACATCCTCTGTCTGGAGAATTCTGCTAAGTCTCCCCGGCCGTCGAATCGCAGACCCATCATACTCCTTATCTCTGACTACAAATTTTCGCAAATATTTTCGCGAGACGGCTCAGGCCTCTGCTCCCTTCCGTATTCGACCATGCCCAGCTCAGATTTGTTCCTGGATGCAATGTTGCCACGTATCTCTATATTTTTGTAGCGCGAAGCTTTATGTGCGGCAGATTCCCACCATACACCAGTTCATCGTGATGCATTTGGACTTTTCCAAGGCATGTGATACTCTGCAACGTCCGTTTTTTCTCGCAGTTCTCGCCTAGATGGTGTTCTGTCTAAGTTTGTTCAGATGGTCGCCGCACTTCACTAGAACACAACTTGTCAATTTGTCGTCAACGGTATTCTCTTGCGGCGGGTGCAAATAACTTGTGGCATACGACAAGAGTTCCTGATGGACCCTCTACTCTTTATTGTAGATCTAGAATGCGCTCACAAAATGATCTAACTCTTTGAAGATCTCCCTGGGATCACGCTACGCTCATCTGGCTGCGAAGAGGTCGTCTCTTTTTCTGGATATGCCAATGATACATGTCGTCTATCGCCTTTGCCGCGTTGACATTTCCAAGGTGCTTACTTTATGAGAAGTTTCAGGATGTGTCCGGTCTTGCTATCAACAAGGATAAATCCATTATCGTCGTTCTCGGGCACAATTCCACTATGCCGGTCGATCTCACATGCCAGCTCACTTTACTGGGACTACTGACCACTGTCGTTGCTTGGGCATACAATTCGGTCAAGTTGACGCGCTCACGTTAAACTGGGACATCTGCATCCGGGAGGT